AAAAAAAAAAAAAAAGCAACTGAGGACTTTCTTTTTCTACAAAATTCCCCTATTCTTATAGCAATGATATGAAAAAAACCAGCCATTAGTGAGACAGTACTTCGACGTATTTCAATCTAGGAGATTCAGGAAAAGCTTCTTCCAAAAGGGAGATACTTAGTGATACACATCCACTCTCCAGTGAGCATCCCATGACATTCCTGCAGGACTTCAGCCAAAGCTGACCTAAAAGCAGCAGCCAAGAGGCTAAGGTGGGCCTGATTTTACTACAGTGGTGAAGTTAAAAATACAAGTCAGCACAGATTCTACAAGACAACTACCATTTCCCCTCTTTTCCCCACTTGACCCTAAACACCCAGGGGTACCTTGCAATTTCTTTGTTGACATTGGTCCTCATTTCCTCTTCTTCCACTGCAGTTCCCCAGTCTGAACACCGGGAAAGGGGTCCAGGGCCTTCTGGTGTTGTAAAACTAGAATGAAAAGGAAAAAAAAGTAGAACCCCTATGTTAAAATTTTGTTTTATTGTATTTCCCACCCCCAGCATCTCCTTCAATCACAGCTTGATCCCTATTTAATGTGTTTATTTAGACTACTCACAGCAGCTGTGAAAATCTTGTGCTGTTCTATTAAAATGTCATCACTGTAAAATTAAGCATCAGTTCAGAGTTCTACCTTGAGGTTGGGTGGTTTGTGTTGGGTATTTTGTCTTAAAAAGTTTATGTAGGTATCTACAGAAACATAGAACTGTAGCATGTAATGCAGCTCACCCTTTCAATAACTTTCAGCTGGTGTCCTTCAGAAAACAGTACATAAATACCAGCTTTACTCACTCACTTATTTTCACTCCACCAAATGACTTAAGAATTATTTATTCCTTCATGATTGCAGACCCATTAGCTATGTAAGAGACAGAAGTTAGAACACAGAATTAAGATGTAAAGCTAATTAATTAAAATTACACCATAGCACCAGGAGTTTCTCCATGTGAAAATATGCCTCATAGAGAAAGCAAAGGCACAAAAAAAGTCATTTTTTAACCAGCAAACTGAGATTTGCTGTGACTTTGCAAACTGGTTTAACAACTTTATTGCAGCCCATTAGCATCACAAGCAGGTTCAGAGTCTTGCAGGGGAATAAGCTCAGATCCCTTCTCAGCCATCTGTAGCTGCCTACATTTAGACTATTCAGTGGTTTCCAGTTTCTGTCCTCCTGATGACCAATTTTCCTTAAGTACAAACTGAAAACTGTATCCTCCAGAGCAGAGCTTTTTCCGAGGATCTGAAATGCTCTGGAGGCTTATGAGGATTCTGGGCAAACATGTCCCCTGAAGTCAGGGAATTAGATCCATCTGCACTAAAACCAGCTTCAACTCCCTCCCTGCTCCCAAGTTGTCTAAAATTCTTTTTAAATGAAACCCAGTTACCAACTCAGCAAAATTAAAAATTCAGAGCAAACACTACAGGTCCCTCTGCAAATATCTGTTCAATCTATATGGATTCTTAGCATTTTCTGATACTGATTTCTAGTTTTGCAGAGAGCACAGGCCATGTTCAATTATTGCTCTCCGGGGCTAGAGAACAAACAGCACAAACCCAGCAGTCCCAACACCTGAGCTTCTTCCTCAACACTGATGTACCTTTATATACTTGTTTGATTCTGCACCTGTGCTGCAATTACAGAGAATTAGGGACAACTGGCAGGGCTAGACGGCTTTTTCTTTTCATTAATTTGCTCTGGTGCCAGACATACTGAGCTCAGCCATCTTACTCAAGACTCTCATCTCCATTTCACACCTGGTGAGAGGTTCTGTTGCTGTGCTAGGACTGTAAATGGTGCTCAAACACTGCCACAGGAGCAGAAAAACAAGGCTGCAGCTGGCCCCACCTGAGTCTGATGTATGACCCAGCCTCCATCCTGCTCCTCTTTGCTTTTTAGAATTTTAATTTGGCAACGTTGAATTGGCATAAACAAAAAAAAATAGTAAAAAAAAAAAATTTATCACAGGAAGAGAACGATTTCAGTCAGAGCTGAATCCAAACTGAAATGAAAAAAGTATGCCTGCTCCATTTAATACTGGAAGACACACAGAAACACTGCTAATTTAGGTTGAAGCTGATGAAACTATCTGTAGTTTCATTCTTGTAGTCCTATTCAAACATGCCTTCTGAAATCAATTTGAGTTACTTTGCATACTGTAAGTTGAGCCGTTGACCAACATCTTCCCTGCTCACTATCAGGAAAGGAAAATGGGCAGTTACAGGGCACAGCCCATGTCATTTTAGATTTGAAACCTAAATTCAATCTTCTGGGGCTGTAGCCACAACTCCCATCTGCTGATCAAAGTCACTAAAGGGACTTGTGGCATGAATATCTTGAACTGTAAATGTGATACTTCAACTAAAATGAAGTTCAGCTGTGCTGGGCAATGGTAAGGAAGGCAGAAGAGCAGCAGTGTGAACACACTGGGAGACCTCAGAAGTGGGTCGCCCCCCACACGTGCTGACACAACTTCTCAGTGTAGTCTGTACTGCCTCCAAAAACATGAAGGCAGATGACTTCCAAGAATCGAATTTTTGTCATCTTTTTTAATTTTACCACAGCGGTTTGTACAGTCTATATCTACAGATAAACAATTGTCCTGTACAACTATTACTTCGTGATAAATGGCAATAAGCAACCAGGAAATAGGGCAGAAAATTATCAAGAACACAATTCAAGAGATAAGAACTAAATATTCACTCTTCAGAAGTGACTCCAAGGTAGGAGCACTGCCCGAGATCCTTTTCCCTCCTTTAAGACCAGCTATTTATGGCTGATGAGCGACCGATAAACAGGCAGGGCTTGGAAAACTCAGTAGAACAGCCAGTTCACAGCTCCTGGCGAACAAAAAGAGCCGGGAGCCGCTCACGTGGCCAGCACCGCTCACCTGTCCTGCCGGCTCTCCGCAGGACGGGGCTCGTTTTCCTCAAAAACCGAGGATTCGGGCTCGTTCTGCCTCCGCCGCCTCCCATCGGCGCCGCGTTTCCGCGCCTGGGCCCAGCGCGGGGGGTGCTGCGGGCTGGAAAGAAACACGGAAAAACACAAGGTGAGCACAAACCAGGCGGGTTTTAGCGCATTAAAACCTCCTTCAGACATCGCAGGTATTTATTTACTCATTTCACTCCCACAAACCCAGCGAGGCGGCTCCACTCGCCCCCTCGGAGTGGGCTCCCCCCCCGCCCCACCACCACCAAACACACCTCAGGGCCGGAGGGGAGCGAGGGCCGGAGAGCTGCGGGGGAGGGGAACGAGAGCTGGGCCGCCGCCACCCCCCGCCTCATCCCGGCGACACTACCTGCTCTTCGTGCTGCCGTGAGGGCTCCGCTGGCGGAAGGACATGGCGAGGGCTGTCCTCGGCAGGGAGGGCCGGGCGGTGAGTGGGGAGCGGAGCGGGCGCAGAGGGAGAGCCGGGCGGTGAGGGGGGAGCGGAGCGGGCGCAGAGGGAGAGCCGGGCGGTGA